GACTGACAAAGAGTAAGTACTGAGTAATGTCTGTAGAATGAAAGAACTCTCCACAGGGTCAGCCAAGGCCTTTCTGAGATTGCATGGCAGCCCATTTTCTTTTGTCTCTGCCATTTCCTTCCTTCACTTTGCCACAGCTGATGGTTCCAAGAACAACACTCTCCAAAAAGCTTTCTACATATTAATCTCCATCATGGAGTTTGCTTCCTAGGGAACACAACCTGGGACGGGAGCCAGGAGAATCTCAACATTTTACTGGATACAAGTGACATTTTAGATTCCCCATTTCTACTTAGTTTTAAAGATATTTGGGAATAAGACAAAAAAATACATGCAATTACAACTGGGTAAATATCACTAATTATCATGTATAACCTGGAATACTCCAACACTCTGTTAACTGGTCTTTTGGCTTCTAATTACAGTGCTAGAGTGATTTTCCTAAAATGTACTCCTGATCCTACTATTATTCTTGCACTCAACATAGAGTTCATTAGAATGGCAAACAAATGCCCTCTGTGCCTTAATCTACCTTTTCATTTTTTTTCTTAAGAGATGAAATCTATGCTGCCCAGGTTGGTCTTGAACTTTTGGGCTCCAGTGATACTCTTTACTCATCCTCCTGAGTAGCCGGGACTACAGGCAGGTACCACTACACCTAGCTCGATCCATCTTTTAAACCTAACCCCTGGTGGGTCTTCTAGCAATGTAAGTTCTATACATAGTTTTACAAATATGCCAAGCATTCTCATTCATGCTTTGCACGTGATTTAAGTCCTTTGCCCAGATCACTCTTCTTTCCTGATTGCTTTCTTGTACAGACCTGGCCAACACTCATTCAACATAACTGAGAACCTACTATGTCATTCTTCCCAGACTCCTTCAGCTAATCTGTGAGTTCCATAACGATAGGGGTTTATTGTATTCATTTTTGCATCTTTACCTAATAAGGCATCTGTTGTATCAGAAAAGCTCACTGCTAGCTGCCACCTTTGTCTAAGTCATTATCACCTCTATGTAATAACTCCTAGCTAGTCTCTCTGCTCATATCCTTCAACTTTACAATCCTTCCTTCAATAGTAGCTTGAGTGAGCTTTTAAAAATGTAAACCAAAGTGCATCATTCTTATGTTAAAAACATTCAATTGCTTCCTTATGACATTTGTAGTAGAATCCAAACTCCAATAGACTCCTACGTGGTGTGATCTCTATTTCTCTATCCTTTCCTATTGCTAGCTGCCTCCGGCTCAGCAGACAGGTTTCTCCCTGTTCTTTCCACAATTCAAGCACTTTCTTACCTTACAGCCTTTGCACTATTCTCTCTCTTCGCCCGCCCGGAACACTCCACACCTCTGGCTCCCCTTTGTCATTTAGATCTTCCTATCTAAAAGACCCACCCAGAGTACGGGTCCATAGAGATCTTTCCCTTATGCTCACCTTTCATATTATAACCTTGCTTTCCTAAAAAGCACTTATGGTCTTGCTTAATCATATGAGCTTATTTATTGTCTCCCTGATCTCTCTGGAATGTAAGATTTATGAGAGCTTTCTCTTACGTTGTTTTGGCAGCACCTGGAATGAAGCAGGTCCTGCTCAATAAATATTTAATATCTGTTGAATGAATTAAGTTCTATGGTAAGTTTAGTCAATAGACTGACTACAGAATAGAGCAGTCAAAGTGCTCTCTTTATAACAATGGGCTCACTATATGCCTAATATGTGGCAAAGAACAGTGGGAACTTGGGCTTTCATCTGGTATTGGTTGCTAACCTATTGTTAAAAAAAAATAGCAAATCAGTTATTTTTCTCTGTCTTAATTTCCATATCTGTAAAACATGGACTGATCTCCAAAAAATTCTGGTCAGTAGACTAGATGCTTTGAGAAATGGAGAAGAAATGAATGAGGCCACTGCCCTCAGCATTTGAGAGAAGAGAGGATATCTGAGTGGGGGCGAAAACTTGTGATCAAGAGAATAGAAATCAACAGTGTCAGCTCTGGAGTCAGAGTGCCTGAGTTCAAATCCTGCCTGTGCCACTTGCAAGTTGTGAGACCTGGGGTAAGCACTTTGTATATCAGTTCCCCCTTGTGTGCAACGAACATAAGATTCCCCACATTATCAGGTAGCTGTGAGGGTTAGATGAAATAGATCATCTATATAACTTGCTTAGCACAGTACTCAACAAACTGTAAATATGCAAAAAAATATATTCAGGCTATTATGATCATCTCACTAAAATCTGATTATTTTAATTTAAAACCTAACATTTCTTACTGACGAAATAGTAAAAATACATAATATCATATACTTCTTTCCAACAGTCTGCACAGCAGCCATCTGAAATGAGTTAAATGATATTTCTCTTGTTTCTACAGTTTCTTCTTTTTAATATTCCTCCTGTCTGGGAAACTACTAAAATTAATAAATACATTGCATATAAAATACAGGTAGTTAATAAGGAATCTCAGACTCAGCATGGCTTTTCTTTTTTCCAACTT